AAAAATATAGTTGACAAGTTTATGGCTAGTAACGAAGGTTTATAATATATAAGGTTTGTGATGCCCCCGGTGTGTGTTTGACTCCGGAGAGAAACTAGCGAAAGATGCACCCATTTGGGAAGTAAATGCATAAATGGCTAGAACAATGCTAGTTCCTCGGGACTGTATGTGTGTTTTAGTGTGAATGTTGTATGGTGATACCTCAATTCTGCTACTTATGTAACTCATAGATGCTGTAATCCTACTGCGGTTTATTTTAGCTCTGCATATGGATTTTTATGTGTACGTATTTAAAGTTATATGAAGCACTGTCTGTATAAATGCACTTTATAGACATCTGTTTTAATGGAAACACATTTATTTGTATATTTGCAGGGCTCGAGTCCTGCAGGAACGCATGGGAGCGGCGTTCCTGCACTTTTTCCAAAGCAGGAACGCCGTTCCCGTTACCTGTCCTGCAGGACCGGCCCTACTACCCGCACACAGTGGCCAGCACACGCTGTGTTCCTTCTCCAGCTATAACTCTCGCGAGACCCGTGGCTGTTACCATGGCAACGCTCCGCACAGGCGAGTCTCGCGAGAGTTAGAGCTGGAGAGGGAACACAGCGTGTGCTGGCCCCTCTGTGCAGCAGCTGGCTCCCTCCACCGGACCACCAGGCGATCTCCCCCCTCCCTGACAAGGTAAGAAGCAGGGAGGGGGGAATAAAATAAAAATTATACATAAAGTAAAAAAATGCTTCCCCCCCCACACATCACACTGCACTCACACACATCATCCAGCACGCACACACATCATCCAGCACTCACACACACATCATCCAGCACTCTCACACATCATCCAGCACTCTCACACATCATCCAGCACTCACACACATCATCCAGCACACACACACACATCATCCAGCACTCACACACACATCATCCAGCACACACACACATCATCCAGCACACACACACATCATCCAGCACACACACACATCATCCAGCACTCACACACACATCATCCAGCACTCCCACACACATCATCCAGCACACACACACACATCATCCAGCACTCACACGCACATCATCCAGCGCACTCACACGCACATCATCCAGCACTCACGCACATCATCCAGCACACGCACACACACGCACATCATCCAGCACTCACACGCACATCATCCAGCACTCACACACACACATCATCCAGCACTCACACACACACACACATCATCAACACACACACATCATCCAGCACACACACACATCATCCAGCCTCACACACACACACACACACATCATCCAACACACACATCATCCAGCACACACACACACACACGCATCATCCAGCACTCCACCATGGCATCATCCAGCCTCTGCATACATCATCCAGCACACACGCACATCATCCAGCACTCACACGCACATCATCCAGCACACGCACGCACATCATCCACCACACACACACATCATCCAGCACTCACACACATCATCCAGCACGCACTCACACACACATCATCCAGCACTCACACACACATCATCCAGCACTCACACACACATCATCCAGCACTCACTCACACACCCATCATCCAGCACTCACTCACACACCCATCATCCAACACACACACACATCATCCAGCACACCCACCCATCATCCAGCACTCACACACCCATTATCCAGCACTCACACACCCATCATCAGCAGCACTCACACACATCATCAGCACACACACACACATCATCCAGCACTCACACACCACGTCATCCAGCATCACCCCACACACCCGTCGCATCCAGCACACACACATCATCCAGCGCACTCACACACATCATCCAGCACACGCACACACTGCATTCATTATACACACTCTTCACTCACTACAAACACACTACATTCACTATACACCCTCTGCATTCACTATACACACTCTGCATTCATTATAAACATTCTGCACGCACTACACACTACATTCACTATACACACTCTGCATTCATTACAAACACACTACATACGCTGCATTCATTGTACACACTGCACTCACTACAAACACACTAAATTCATTATACACAATTTGCACTTACTACAAACACACTACATTCATTATACACACTCTGCACTCACTACAAACACACTACATTCACTATACACACTCTGCATTCATTATACACACTCTGCACTCACTACAAAAACACTACATTCACTATACACACTGCATTCACTATACACACTGCACTCACTACAAACACACTACATTTATTATACACACTGCACTCAATACAAATACACTACATTCATTATACACACTCTGCACTCACTAAAAACACACTGCATTCATTATACACACTCTGCATTCATTATACACACTCTGCACTCACTACAAAAACACTACATTCACTATACACACTGCATTCACTATACACACTGCACTCACTACAAACACACTACATTTATTATACACACTGCACTCACTACAAATATACTACATTTGTTATACACACTGCACTCACTACAAACACACTACATTTATTATTCATACTCTGCATTCACTACAAACACACTACATTCATTATACACACCCTGCACTGCACTATATGCATAGGAGTGTAATTTTTTTTTTTTAAGAGGGGGGGAGGCGGGAATCTTGGGTGAGTTCCCACACTTTTTTCCCCAGGACTTGACCCCTGTATATTTGTATTGCTCATTGAGGTATTGTACGTATTTTTGATAATTAAAAAAAAAATATTAAACCATTGAAAAACCATTTAAAAAGTAACAACCCTCACACTGCAGTCTATAATCAGAAAAAATATATTAAAACACACTTCGGGAATGCCAGCACAATGTTTTTCAACTTCAGTGCATAGCCTTAGAATACGAACCTCCCTCTAGGGGAGGGATGGAAACAAGAACAGAATCCTTCGACTCAAGGGTGAGAAATAGCAGTTACTTTTTTATTTTTAAGATACTTTTGATTTATCTATCATTCTGTGTTATGCATAAATATATTGATATTAACACGATGTGCATCTACAAATCTATTTTTCTTTTGTCTTCTGGATTTTTGCCAACTGAATAGATTTTATGCCAACCCAAGAACTGCAGACGAGTGGCTGGAACTATGCTGAACATTTGTAAAAACTATTTGTTGGAGATATTTTCTCTCGCAAAAATTGCTATTGTTTATGAATAGAAATGTATCCCTTAACTGATAATTCCATTTATTCTTCTAAATATAGTTTTATGGCTGAATAAATAAAGCAAAACTAATGCGAGATTTGTTTAATTATTATATAAGTATGCTTACATAAAGATTTGATAATTATTTTAAACAGTTAATATAGAGACAACACTGTGTGTGTCTTTTCCACCATACATTGTTGTGTATAGGAAAACAAATCTAAAATAAACATTTTACTTTTTTCTGGAAAGATCAGTTTGGTTTAATGCACAGAACGGTAATTTGAAAAACAAATTTTATGCTAAATTATGCAGTTTGGAGAATTTTTATCAAATTAGCTGATTGATCTAAACCTTTCAGTGCAGTTTCCAATTCCCTAGAATTCAATGCTTAGTGAGTAAATCCCTACGTGTTTCTGCTTAAAATTATATCACAGTCACATTCAAGCCATTCATTTTTACCTCCCCATTTCTCATACGTTTTATCAGTATAGATAAGATAAGGGCAGGCTTAAACTGTATCAAAATTGGTTGGTCAGTTGAGATGTAAGCAGTAATGAATGGACATTGTATCCGTTAAAATGGATACTTTTATTTCCTGCTGTAAAATTGTGATTCTCTATAGTGTCTTTGTTAGCTGTGTGGCTAATAAAAGCATGGCTGGTCTTCAATTTGTATCAGGGGAGAGACTTTTCCTGTGGAAAATGAGCTTTAAATCTGCTATTTTTCTTATAAAATAAGGAAAATAAAAAGTGTTTGTCACTAAAGTACACTAAAGCACACTGTCACTAAAGTAAAGCTAAATACGGTATGAATCTGTTTATTATTAAGATATATAGATAGACAGACAGATAGACAGACAGATGTATTTATAGATAGATAGACAGATAGATTTATAGATAGATAGATAGATAGATTTATAGATAGATAGATATATCTATAGATAGATAGATAGATAGATAGATAGACATATATATTTATAGATAGATAGATAGATAGATAGATAGATTTTAAGTCTGTCTGTATGCATCTGTCCATATGTCTGTCAATCTAAGCACTGCTTCTACGACTTGGTAACTGTAAGGAAAAACAAAATATATTGAGACAAAATAATAAGGAATAAAATCAAATATTATTCCTGATGATACCCACTATCTTTTACACAAAACATCTTTTAATTTCACAAAACACCCCTATGCAAAGTTAAGCTATCTAAATTTGAAGGGAAATGATTTCAGTTTCTACAATTCTATATTATCTGGTCCTATATGTTCAAACTGTCGGTCCTGTTCCAGCTCTTAGGACGCATGCAAACAATCCTGGAATAACATTTACCTGTTTCTAAATAAATAAAATAAAGGGGAAGTTTACAGACAGTGTCTGGTGTTCTATTTGATGACACACGACAGCCCCACAGTAGTGTAATAAAAATGTGAAAACAAACACAAAAAGCACATAAATCACCTCCCTAAATTGGCACAAATTGCCCCCCGTCATCACATCAAACCAACAGACAGCAACAGAAATGAAGAAAAAGGTATGGGAATTTCCCCTTATATAACCAAGAGTATTAATCCTGTCTTTAGCAGCAAAGTATGCTAGTGAGCATAGAATAAAATGGAAAACATGCAAAAATTGACTTTAACCAGCCCGGAACTCTGGCTAATGAAGCCCCAATGATGCTGCAGGAGGTGGAGTTACGCCTCCAGCAGGAAATAGGTTAAACTCGGTATGTGTAGCAGATCATACTGAAATACTAGACATACAGACGGCAGGCACCATGACCACTTCAAATCACTGAAGTGGTCATGGTGCTCGGGAATAGCCATATAACTGCATCATGTGTTATGAGTGTGGTGGTCGGTTCCAGTCTGCAGTGGCTCTTTAAATTTGAGACAACTCCTACAAAAAAGCACAACAAAAGCTTAGAAAGTAACAAATATTTGAAATAATTTCAAGGTAAATGTCACTCACAATATTTTCCTTGCCATCTCCAATTTTATTCCATCTAAAATTCAACTTCATCTATCTCTCCGTTACATCAGTATAAAATGGCAGATATGCCAGAAATTAGTTTCTAATACAAAAAGAAGATGTTTCTATGAAAGAGTTAATTTCTTGTTCATATCTATAGCTACAAAATCTAACGCGATAACACGATTATTTTGTATCTAATGCAGTTGCTAGTGGTTTTGTTTCTTAAATAAACATTTGTACGTTACTCTTACTAAAATGTGATAAATGTAAGTATTTAATCCTTCATGGAACATATTAGTTTGATAAATCTGCCGTTAAAATGTATAATATTTATGATAATTTTCTAAAAGACTAAATACTGCGTTTTTGTTCATACCAAGCAGCAGAAGTAGTTTGTGTCATGACGCTGACTAGAACAGAATATTTTTTATGTTAAGTGTGTTTACCAAGCAGACACGACACATAATATACTGTTTGGACTTTCCCACTAACAACCGATCTAGCTGTGTGCCTTTGCCAAATTTGGTTAGTTATTTGGCCAAAAATAAATAAATAGATTTTTGCTTCAAAATTATGTTTACGTTTTGAGTAGTCTTTCAAATATAATACTGAAGGTAAATAAACATTCTACGTAAAGTAGAGACAACTGTTTTTGTAGATCCCTGCTTGCATTCTTTCACATGTGGCTAGCTGAGGATTATGACAGTTGTAGTCCATTGTTATAAGTGCCCAAAAACTTCCCTTTTTCTACTGCCTATACACATACAAAATATAAATCACTGATTAGTAGATATACCCTCATTGGAAACATGTCTGCATTTAATTATCCATTATTTTATCGGGGAGTATCTAAAAATAGCTTGCAAAAGCTGCAGATCTGTTGACTGGAGCCTTTGTAAGCCTCCCTTCTAATCCAGCCCAGGCTGTCCAATCACAGACTTTCCCAAGCAGCTCTATGAGAATTCTTTGCAAGGCAGGTGCTTGGATCAAATACCTGTCTCTTGAGTTTAGCTCCACTGAGTTAAGAAAACCAGGAAGTAAAAGGACCAGTTGTTTGATCGACAGCCTGGGGGTGTATATCACGAGTTTCAATTAACCTATCCAATATTTAGATTATGTACTTACGTACCGTACTACTTATTTATATGGTTTAGTATTGTTAAAATTGTAGCTACTGCAGCCCTGCAAAATTGTATTTCCATATACAAAGGAACACTCCATGCACCATAAACACTACATCATGGTATCCGGCGTGCCCTGGTTGCCACCCTGATGCAAGTAGTCAAACAGTTTGCTAACTTAGTGCCTGCCTCTCCTCTTTTGGTATGGAAAGCCAGAAGCTCCTGCTAAGAGTTTTTCTTTTAAACGTTTCATAAATTTATTTTATTAAACATGAAGAGATAATTAGTTTTTGCTTTCTGGAGTCAAGTTAAAGGGACATTCCAGACCCCGAAAGCACTTCATTTAATGCCAGCCAGAACTGAAGCAGATGTACACGATAAATATGGTTTGCTGCTCGAGAGAAATCATCCGCTGGATGTGCATTAGAAGCACACTTATTGGCCTTTTAAAAAAAAAAAATTGATTAACCCTGTTAGTTAGTAAAGTAGAGACAAATAAAAAGCCTATGGGGGCACTATAACCCTCACATTAGTACAAGGGAGGTTTCACATCACTCAACATGGCAGGAACATGACTGCTAGCGAGCAGTCAGTGGCTTGTGGCTCTAATAAAATAACTTGTGACTAGCCAGCTATTGCTTTTAACAGACAGGGGGTTTCTTCTCTCATCAGTGTGTATTAAGTAGGGGCTTGAAATTAAAGAACGGGGATTGGACAGATCCCTGTCCAACCTCTGTAGCTCACCATTGGCCAACAGGTGGGGGCTTCTACTTTAAAAAAGCGGGGATCCGTCCTTGTGTCCCCCACTGTCCGAATTAAATGGAGAGACTTAGTGCACACGCCCCCTCCCCCCCCCACCCCCCCACTTGTCCCAACAGGGACCTAATTTCCCCTTTCAGTCCCCACCCATAAGCAGCCAGTTGGGGCTATAATAATATTAGTAATTACCCACCACCATTTTTAAATGTATAGCCTGATACCCACATGAGGGGGCACTTGGGGAACTGTACCATATCACCTTGTATGTTAAAAGTTACCGGGCAGCAATCCCTGTTTAGAGGACATGCCCCCAATCTGGGCATACCAAGTGGGGCATGGAAAGCTTTATAACCTCCCTTGTACTAATATGAGGGTCATATTGACCCCATAGTTGTTGTTTTTTTGTCAATCTTTCTTTTATTATGAAATGGGGTACAGAATAAATAGTAGGGAATGCACATTTTTCTACAGATTGGGAGCATGTTAACACACTGTAACATCTCCTATGAGTGTCAGCCTCATTTTATAGTAATTAGGTGTATCACAGTTGTACTAACAAGTTAAACGGATCAGTAATAAAAGTAATGAAGCGTTGTAAACACAGGCTTAAAGTATATGCTGTAAAACTGTTATAAATTTTGCAGTATAACTAATTGCTTTTCTGTCTCGGTGAAGGTTAGATTCGGGTTAATGCATAACTGAACATTCTATTCGTGAGACTCGTGTTTACAGTGGCTTTTCGGCCTAGCATAGATAGGGTGACTGAGAAATTAAGGCAGACCAACATGGTGTGCTTGTCATGAGCAGGCTACGTTTCAGAGGTCATTTTACGTGAATGCAATAAAATATAATAGGTGCTAGGCCTAACCGACAAAAAGACAACAATAAGACTAAAAAATATCTACACGTGGTAGGCTGTCTCCTGACCCACCAGCTTTATGTGGTGGAAAATTTATGCCAGTGGGCAGTGTGGTGAGCTTATCTGTGGGTGAGAGTCCAGCAAGGAGAGCCCATGTGGGCTGTTCAGGCTAGGTCCCCAGTTGCCCTCGGCTGACAGTGTTGTTGGTGGGACTGCCAGTTCGAGGGGCTGGTTCAGCCTATACCTCTGCTGGGTGGATCACAGCGCGGGATGGTAGAGTGGATAGGGTGGCACTATCATTCTGGAAAATCCACAAGGGTGCGGCATGGTGCGAGTTGGCGACGGCCGTCCTCCGGCCCCAGGTCATTATGAAGGCCTGTACCCGTGATCCACCGACTCGGTTACTCAGAGAGGCCGGGTCTTCTCTTCGTCGGGCGCCAAGTGGGGCTTGGGTGTTATGCCGCCGCCAGCGGCGGGCAAGCCTCCAGTGATGTGGTCGGTGTTTCGGAGTTTGACTCCTTGTGGTCTTCGGTCTGGAAAGGCATTGTGGACGGCCCACCGTAGCAGCCTCCTGTAGGTGATGGGGGCATTGGTTTGTTTGTAAGTACCGCTCCTTCGCCGCTGTGGGTGAAGCTATAGGCCTTGAGGTAAGTCTTTGGGCCTGACTGGATTCTTGCGGACTGAGCTTGGTATCCCGGCTTGAGTTCGTAACGCCATCTGCGTGTGGGGTCGCGGCTCTTCCCTCCTGCTCTCTGTCTTAGTTTGGAGCGTTTTACCCCTCTGCCATGCTGGGGTTCATTTTATCACAGGTTGCTTGTTTAATTGCAGCGGGTCAGGCTGTCGTTTGTGTGGGAGGCCTGCAGTTGGGTGGGCCTGGGCTGGATGGTACATCTTTACCTTCAGTTTGCGCCAAAAGTCTTGAAAAATTCTCTCCAACCTGGACTCACATCCCAGCTTGTCCACTGCTGTGCCGGGTGCCCACGTGGCCTTTGCTCCCTCTTCCTCCGTTCGGCCATATTGGTCACCTGTATTTGAGTAGGGACCAGATCTGTGCTGCATGTGGTGGACTGGGATGTCCCCCCGGCCCTGTGGGGGGAAGCTGGACTCTGTGTGGTCTTGCTGGCAGTAGAGGCAAGGGACGGGAGGCTGGCCGTTCCCCCGCCCGATGCCCCCGCTAGGCCGCAACCGCTCCGCACGGTTGTTGATGGTGGTCATCTTGGCTTTCTGCATCGGGACACTCCAGCCGTCATCTGCGGTAGGTGAGTCTCTGTTTGGGATGATTTTTGTGCAGCAGGAGCCCCAGCAAGTCGCTTGGGAATTCAGGTTATTTTGGAGCTCCCTCAGATTGCGTCCGTCCGCCATGCCAGTCAGGCCCCCCCCATAGTTTTTTTTTTTTAACTATTTGCTAGTTGGCATTTATCTTTTAGTTCTCAAATCCCATAAGCCCATTTGATGGTCGCCATGCTACTGTTAACTGTAATTGAATTACCAAAGTGTATATTTTCAATGTAAGATATAGGCTTCAAATTCATTATTTGGAATAACATTTATCATTTTGTGATATACCTTTAAAGGAACACTGTAGCTTAAGGAATATAAACCTGAACGCCTATCACTATAATGTTCTATTTTGCCTTCATCTTAAGCCCCCCCAAATGTAAATGAAAAAAATAGAACAATTGTTTTATTCACCTTTTTTTCCAGCACCGAGATCCAATCCTTGCAGCCGCTCGATCCACCTCCCGTGACGCCATGCGGACTTTTTTGCCCAATGCTCCTCATAGAGGGCGAAAAGCACATGTGCACTCAGTGCCCCTCCAATGAAATAGAGGTGAACTGTGAGAACCAATTTTGACTTGATTCTCACAGGGGATGTGCCATCATAGGGGAAGGTGTATTTCAATGTAAGTATGCAATGTAAGTATAGCCATTTCTACTAAATGGCAATGCTTTAGATTGCAGCGTTAAAACGAAAGGACCACTGCACCCAGACCACTTCATTGAAATTAAGTAGTCTGGGTGCCTTCAGCTGACCTTCAACGGCAGGAATAAGATTGATCCAAATTGAAAAAGAATTTTCGGAAGCTGATAAACTGCCCATTATCACCCAATTACAACGAACTGAGGAATTTAAATGAATACAAAAAAAATAGAACAACAGAATTCAGAAATGCTTTTTTGCTAAAAAGTACTGTATTCAAATGAGTTGTAGACAGGTATCTTATTTATTTATAAAATATTTTACCAGGATGGATACATTGACATTTCTTTCGTTTTCAAGTCTTTCCTAGGTTATCCAATGTAATATAATGATTCAATAATAATCCTATTGGCAGTTTGAAAATAAAAGGTTCTTTGGGCTTTAAAAGAAATACATTGATGTGAATCCAAATCCCAATGCAGCCAGTTTGCTTATAATTCTAAATTATATACACACGCAAGCTAAAGTGTAGACTTAAAAAATATCAAAAATAATTTGGGTTTTAGAGTATTGTAAGAATGTTCACTATGTGAATGTGTGGGATGTAGTCTTTGTGGGGAACCTTGGTTTTAACACAGTGAAACTGCAGTAAAAAAGATGACAAAAAACAACTAGTATTTCTGCACAACCAAGCAATTTACAAAACATTAGCTATAAATATAACAAAATATCTAGCACAACAGACTTTTTCTTTGTGGACATGCAATGTTTATTGGTGCGGGATCATGTAGAATCAGTATGAGCATATAAGTGCAATTCAGACAGTTTTTGCCTGATCGGGTGATCGGTCATATTCCCAATTTATGAAAATATTCCTGCATTATGGACTAATAATGGAGCCTTGCAATGCCGAATATGTTCAATATTTTGTATTCTGCCCATGTTGCCAATAAAAGAGTTGATTAATAAGAAAAAACGGTGATTAAAGGTCCACTGTACGCACCCAGATAACTTCAGCTCATTGAAGTGGTCTGGGTACAGTGTCCCTATTGCCCTTAATGCTTCAATGTTAAACATTGCAGTTCCCGAAAAACCGTCATGTTTACATTGCAGCACTAAGTCAGCCTCTGGTGGCTGTCTACCAGCCAGCCACTACAGGGCTTCCTGGTTTGAAACAGACCATCTGATGCTGGACGTCCTCACGCTCTGCATGAGGACCTCCAGCGTCAGATTTTTCCCCATAGGAAAGCATTGATTCAATGCTTTCCTACGGCGATGTCTAATGCATGCTCAGTCTAATTAGTGCAAGCTCATCGAGGGACATCGGGTCTGAGATCACTTGAGTAAATATAGGGTTTTAACCCTTTATTCACTGATGAGGGGGTGAGCAGGGGGAGCTTTGTATTCCTGGCACTATAGTATCCATTTAATGGCTAGGTCAGTCACTAAATGTTGATATTATTTATAGATCAAGCAATGGAAGGAAAAATAAGAGGAGCAGAAAAGATATATAGATTTATCATTTATGCCAATATAGCCAGAATATTGCAGTATACAATGTTACTTTTTTTATTGGACTAACATAATATTTAAAAGACAAGCTTTCGAGACTTTTCCTCACTTCCTCAGGTCTGAAGCAATACTGAGCAATATAGTTTTATGTAAAAAGGTATCCATGCATACTGCAATATTCTGCTTATTTTGACACTTTGTCAATTGGACTAATACGGCTAATGCAATTTACATTTATAATATATAAGTATAGATTTTTTAAACTTCTCTTGTTTTTCTATCAGTTGGTTACCTGTCTCCACCAAATGGCAGAGAAATGCTCCTATCAGTATAATACAAAATATATAAAATCAGAGCCGGTCCTGGGTGCATGCACAGCACCCAGGCGCTCTGTAGATAGAGGGGCAGGGTGTGCACACTGCACACCCTGCTGATCTGCCTCATTAGGTCCCACCTCTTGCAGTTGGCCAAGGCTGCAGATCTTGAAGGCAAAAGTTACAAGCTGACAAGTTGTTTGAGGACAACATGCCATGTTACCAACATGCCTGGAAAAACCCTGCAATTGTCATCCTGCTGGTCTCAGAGAGACCATATTTTGGGACAGAGTTTTGCTGCACATGCTCACTAGCTTCCCAATGCTTTTCTATGGGAAAGCATTGGATTGGATGAAGTCATCAATCCCGATGATCTCAGCCAAAGAGATTTAGCTTCACCAAGGAAACCAGCTATGCCAGGGAGAAAAGTTAAGTAATATCACATTTTTATACCCCAGCAGCAGTAGGCAATTTCTATTGAAATTTATACTTATTGTACAATGAACAAAAGAGGATACACTCTTCACACATAAAACACGTGAGTAAGCTGGGCACTCATAGAACATGCTTGCATATATACAAAAATATAGAGTACCAGGTAGGGCTGGCAGGGTTTCTAGAAATGCAGGTTGCTGCCCCAGTACATGGTGATCTGACTTGCCCTTTCTGCCACCCACTGTCCCCTGCATTCCAAATTACATTAACCTAATGTTGGCAAGCATGTGACACTTCACAATGAATTTTTACATTGTAAATCATACTTAATATCACAAACAGGAAAATGTGAAAATACACTGATAAAGAAAATTACAGATTAAAAAAAAATCTATCGACACATAAATATGTAATAGGTACGTAATGATTAATAAGGAAATTATTTTCAAATCAGTTCAGATGACGATATATACCTTGGGGAAAATGGCTAGCAGATTATGTAGATTTTCTTAGCAATGAAAGATAGAGGGTGTGAAAGGGAAGAATAATGTAAAGAAATGTGACAGAGATGTCAATCAGTGCCCTACGGGCATTTGTCTGCTATTAATTAACTCCTGACAGACATGTTTTTATGGCTCATTCTCTGAATATATTACACGCTTTAAAATGGAAGTGAAAATGTGATGTCTTATCGCACACTTTTCTTCCACAGTATATTATTCTGCAGGCGTCGGGATTGTAACCCAAACTGAACCACCAGAGTTTGAACATGAGACTTAGGGAACAAATCTTGTCTGCACGCAGTGTTATGTTATTTTAGCCATCTCAAGAGTCATATACAAAATTTTATTTATGGGTTACTATGCTTGCTTTCAAGAGACCTGGAGTTAACATGTAATTATTTTTCAGTTACTCAATTCAGAAGACAAATTCAGTACTTATGTAACTGATCCAGTACAGACAATGTCATTGGTAACTAGTGCTTACCTCCTAAGCCATGCCCCATTCATGGTTTACTTAGTAAACAATACGCTTTTGGGGCTACATGTTACCTTGAGTTTGGACAAATTTAACTAAATAAAGACAGCCTGATTTAGAATACGTCACAAAAATAAGGTAAGAAATGTAACAGGGACCTTTTATATTATTTAAGTTTCCAAGTAATTTATTTAAAACAATCACATACATACACAATAATATACAGGGACATATATTCCAAAGCACACGTACACTTTATTGCAGGGCATTGCTCAGTGTGGGTGGTGGGGGATGGGGGGAGGGATCTGTCAGGGGCAGTGGGGATCTGAAAAAGTGAAGTGCTTGCTTAATTTCACTGTTAGCCCCAATTCACCTGTATTTCTGAGAGAGAAATAGCACCGCCAATTATATAATGGTGACAGTACCACTATACTGCACCCTATTTTAAGTTAATTACACAGCAGAGTCCAGGGGTATTACTGTGGGTGTGGGATTTTAATGATGTAGAGTAAAGAGTTAATACAAAAGGTATCTTTTATTATAAATGCACGTGATATTCGGAATTCTATTAAACATCTGGAATCCCAATGTAACTTATAGAACACTATAGTGTTTGGGGTTGGGCTTAGCATGTAGTAGTATGTTAGCATGTAGTAGTAGTTTTAGGAGGGGCTTAAATCAATATATGCAGGATGGGCTATACATTTTACCCTTGCACCTGGTATTTTTGTCCCCTAGCAATGTTCCTTCTTTACTGTTGTTGCATGTGTTGCCATGACAATATGGTCATATGATTGGGATTTGCTCCAATTCATTTTTGCACATTAATTATTCAATTATTATATATGTCTTTATTGATAACGATGCAGGAATGGTTGACCATCGTTTTTCAATTACCTACATACAAAGACACACACAATTATATACACAGTTAAACATAACTAAATACATAGAAACACACAGTCACACATATCTGCAAACATGCACGTACACACTTTAAAAAAAAAAAAATCTTTATTTTTGAAGTGCAGAGTAAGATACAAGCTGAAACAATTACACATTAAATCACAATAACCAAATACAGGTATGAGAAGTTAAGAGCTGCTGCACTTTTTTTTGTAAAAGAAAAAACAAGAGTAAAACAATACTAGATATAACACGATGATTCCCACAGGAGGCCCCCACTGAGGCATTATAAGACTTTAAGAAAAGAGAGCCATGGCTTGAAATATCAGCCAAACAATGAAGATAATTAAGAGCTGCAGGCTAAAAAGCATCTATGTAGGCAGCCAGATATATTGGGGGCTCAGGAGCTCAGCTCAATAAAAAAAAAACCCCATTCAACAAATACAAGGTACAGCACAGTTCTGCTTCGAGGAGGCATATCGGAGGGCACTGCACCAGGATGCAGGTGGGTAGGTCGGCAGGGCCTCTGTGAGGTGGACCGGGATGACCCCCGCAGGTCCAGAAGGGGAGGGGGCGGGGGCCTGGGTAACAGGGCCCTATTGGGACACCACAGAGTTTCCGGAAACTCCAGATCGGAAGATCGGCCGCCTCTCCCGCTCCAAACGTACACCAGGCCGCACTGTGAGAGAAGAATGCCGGTAAACGGCAAACTGGATGGCATTTAGCTGAGTCCCGGTTCTCCGCTCTGGTAAGGGAGCACAAGAGGCACTGTTAGAGTTGAGCAGGGTGCAAGATTTGGCAAATACATAGATATAAATACCCTAATAGCTCAGAAGTGCGACCATTAGGATCAGGCCCATCCCTCCACACGTACACACTTTTGTTGTTTGAATCTCCCTCTTTCCCCTCTACACTTTTGTCTGTACTGGGATTGCAGGAGGCCAGAGGTATGGCTGTCCCTGTGGGCCAGTGATTAATAGGGAGTCCTTCTTTCTCCCCCTCTACAGACAGGCCAGTTAACAGACTGCGTGTGCCATCATTTCACTCAACACCCTCTGTCTAGATCGGTCTGAGTAAGCAATTTATCTTGAGAGAAAAAGCAGCTAAATACTTTAAAAAAACAAAACAAGCAGATCCTGCCCAGCCCAGGATATAATACATCCATGTTTGTGAACCTAAGAAATGTTTGAGCACCGTGGGATTTGGAGCCTGATAGAATGGAAATTGTCAGTAACAGTTTTCATTGTTTTATTCCTATGATGCACAGCCAACCTTTTACAAAATATTATTATATTACATGTTTTGGGCCTGCTTAACACCCTTTACTGTTTCTACCTCCATCGTGGCTGTTTATTACCGACCAGCATCTGAATTAATGTGCTAATCTGTGTTTTGGTTCTGTGTTTAATCCACCCATCTTTTCTTTACAGGACATAAATAAATTCCATTACTGTAATGTTACCTGCAATCATGAAAACCTATCACAAAGTGATTTATTATGATACCGTAACGATGATAGATAAATAGGTGGAGTGAAGATGTGGCTATCTCATAGAATACTGTCGGCATTCATCCACTGAATTATGCTCTATGGAAACTCCTTAAACCCTGACTTGTCAGTACTGGTTTCCTGGCATATTGATCAGTGCACACCCTCACCATAATCTTTTTCAGCACTTGCAGAGTTAGTTTTGTGGATTAAAATGCAATGTTATTTTCCTGCTTTAAGTCAATAGATATTGAGAAGAGATTACTGGCCAAGTGCAGCCCGAAACTCAACAAACTTGCTGACCAGAAATTCAACTTCTCTGCTGTTTCCTCTACGACCTGTTGACCCCATGACCTATAAGTTGCCGGTTACATAAGGTCCTTGCCCATTTTCCAAGTACTGTTTACTGTTGACAGTCAAAAACAATTGAGGACACAAATCATTCTGGAATTACTATGTTTGTTTGCTCATCTGCATTTTGTCTTTCTCGTTATTTTCGAAATAATACATTTAGCTAAGGTAATATTTCTCGTTTTGAGAAATGTTTGCTTTACCCCGAGGCTGCATCTGTCTGTCCGCCGATCCATCCATCTATCTAATATCTGTCTGGCTGTATGTCCGTCCGTATGTCCGTCAGTCCTATGTCTGTCTGTTTGTCCATCCGTCTGTCTGTCTATTGATCTGTCTGTCTGTCTAACCTTCTATATGCTTGACAAATATAAGGGTAAGAAGCAAAGATAAATAATACAAAAATTAGCGGAAAGAAAGACAGATTAACTATATAACATTAATGGGAAACAATGGTTGTTAGTATCAATGTGAAAAAAACTCATAGAGCAATATCTTTCAATTCTTGTATTAGTCACCAGATTTTCTATTGCCGTGGACAAGAAAGTCCAGAGCTACATTCCGTGTACCACTAATGATGGACCTCCTCATTAGGGTCTTCATTCTGATACATACTGTGTTGAGCGTCTACTGTGTGTTTAGGGGGTGTTATCGGTACATAGTTAGATATTGTTTTCTTGCCTGCTGGGATGGAGCGGACTATATAGAGTAATTTGTACGGTGTGCAAGCAAGATTTGGTAGGGGGCCAGTGTATATTTTTTGAGTTTGCCCCTAATGGAATCTTCACTTTTGCATTTTTTCAGAAATGCTCTGCTCCACCGTTTGTTGACCATATACATTTAGATATATAGGTGAGCATATAATGTAACCTCTCAGAAACTGTAGCGTGTTTATTAGCTCATTTATCACAAGGGCAAATTTCGGCTGTAGCATGCTCAGCAGGGCAGCTGCAGGACAGAACAAGCCTGAGGCTAGCATGGAATAATGGGAGTTGTAGTCTAAAAATAGCTGGTGGTGCCAAAAATTGATACCCCTTAGCTATGATATTCTGAGTATATAATGGTGTATTTCTGTTGTTTCTGCAATAAAAAAAAATAAGTTCAGATCTATCAGAAACAGAACATACGTTATATGTTCCTCTCAACAGGTGTACCATAAGCTGGATGAATCCCTTCTAAAATGGGCTGAAAAGCAACAGAATCCTGGGTTATCAAAATAGCATTCAACCTAGGCTGCTATTGCCATACTAGGGACGATTATAACGAAAATCCTGCAATACTCAAGAGGATATAAACAGCACTCACATTATGTGCGACAAACTCTGTTTAATCATGATATTCAGAATCTAGTATGTTGACCAGTGTTAAAGATTAGAGGTAATCTTTTTAACAGCAGATCAGGCTGTCAGTCACATCCTAATTCAGTTTGCTAGCAGTATTAACGCAATGCATAAATCATCGCTTGTATCTAGTGTAAATTGTTATGACTTTTTCTGTCCACATTTTATTTTCTACCTAACTTTTGCATTAACAAATGCCCTTGTGATACAACAGAAAGAACAACATCAAACGTACCTTTTAACTACACAGTTCTTTCTAAATGTCTTTAAACTTATAGGCCATATTGCTGACTCCGCTACTTCAAAGGTGGATTAGGATCAGGCTCAACAAAAATCTTACCATTTCATAAAATATGCATGCGAATTTTGTGCCCATCACAGTAATTATTCATGTTTTAATTATTTCACAATTCCTCATTCTGGTTCTCTCTGTGCAGGTATGGACTGTGAGATTTCATTAGTCTCACTCAAAGTACACGAACATCACTCAGATACAAGGGTTTTCTTGTAACCTTCAATAATAAGGACAGTTAATTCAGAATGTGCATGAACAGATTATATTTATATGTTTTGTTTGTACATCATTACTCAGAGGACATTGATTGTAAAGGAGATAGTTAAAACATTGACTGACAAAAATAAAACCGTTTCATGAGAGAATGCCAACATGATCTTAAAAGAAAAAAAAAAGACTATTGATGATTTCATTTTCTTTGTATGTTTAGATTTTATTTTTATTAAAGGGACACTATAGTCACCTGAACAACTTTAGCTTAATGAAGCAGTTTTGGTGTATAGAACATGCCCCTGCAGCCTCACTGCTCAATCCTCTGCCATTTAGGAGTTAAATCCCTTTGTTTATGAACCCTAGTCACACCTCCCTGCATGTGACTTGCACAGCCTTCCATAAACACTTCCTGTAAAGAGAGCCCTATTTAGGCTTTCTTTATTGCAAGTTCTGTTTAATTAAGATTTTCTTATCCCCTGCTATGTTAATAGCTTGCTAGACCCTGCAAGAGTCTCCTGTATGTGATTAAAGTTCAATTTAGAGATTGAGATACAATTATTTAAGGTAAATTACATCTGTTTGAAAGTGAAACCAGTTTTTTTTTCATGCAGGCTCTGTCAGTCATAGCCAGGGGAGGTGTGGCTAGGGCTGCATAAACAGAAACAAAGTGATTTAACTCCTAAATGACAGTGAATTGAGCAGTGAAATTGCAGGGGAATGATCTATACACTAAAACTGTTTTTTTTTTATTTTTATTTTTTTAGTAATTTAGGTCACTATAGTGTTCCTTTAAGGTTAACAAATTCTGTATTATATCAGTAAACACGCATGTTCGTTGTATAGTGTAGAAAATAAAATTCACAAATTATGGATTAATCGCACATTTTGTTACACATATTTGATACATAACCATGATTTGTGTTTAATGGGAAAACAATTCATCATTGGGGATCTGAGTAATCATTGGGGATCTGAGTTCTGAGTAATTTATAAATGTCTCAGCACTGCCTGAGATTACTGAAAGTTGTAGATTCAGGTGGAAACTATTTCAGCTGCTGCCATTAAAATGGTGGCAGGTGCTGCTCTGTGACTCCCATTAACCTTGGGCAAATCTTGTGTGTATTGATTCTACCCGAGTTGATCCATGCATTATTACGAGTTAATCATAAGGAATAATGCATTCCTTTTAAATAATGGGCAGATATATTTACAATATAAGATGTTTGCTCATAAATGGGCAGATTTGAAAAGGGCGCAGTAGCCACTGTAATTGCTTCATCTTGTTGAAGTGGTTTTAGTATCTGAAATTCCATTTGCTCCTTCCTTCCATTCAGTGTTTTTAAAGTTGTAATGCTAAACAAAAGTCCCCAGAAGGACATCTCCCCTGTGCTGCTTGTGTTAATGAGGAAGCATCACCTTGAGCAGCACTGAGTGGATGTGATTGGCTGAAAGTGTCAGCTGATCACTTCCAGCCAACCACTGTACTTATTGCTAGTATGAAGTGGTATGGCTTGAAGAAAGTGTGTAATTTCTGCATTAGCCTCACCTTCAGTAGGGGCTGGGCTGTGGGTGGCCATTGACTCTGACTGAGTGTTAATCTCCTTGAAAAATACTTAATTTTAAATAGAGGGACAGTGATAGGGAACTCCAGGCATCATAAACCATCAAATGAAATGAAATCAATGGTTAAAGTGCCTACAGTGCATCACATTAAAGTGGCATGCATCACTTTGAGACAACTGTCTCATTCAAAAGCTTTAGCTTTGAATGAGAAAGTTGCCTCACTCTGTTGGCTGAGAATTGCAGATAAATATGATTTTTTTTCATGTTTCCTTGATTCTTCTATAATATGCTTTCCACACCCACTCCTTGGTGGAGACGGAACTAACCAATCATTGTCCTATCCTTAGGACTGCTGGAAAAGTGCGTTGAGCATGCCTGACAGATTTATGTATGTATTACACATCTACAGTTTCTTCACCTTGCAACATCCTGACAGTGGGAAAGATAGGGAGCCTGGTCAGTGTGATCATGCAGAGTAGACTCCTCTGCTAGATTTATCTCTCCCGCTGTTGCAATGATGCCCTGTTTCTGTCATTAATAGATTAGTCTGAAACGGGGAAGGCTGGATAAGAGGGAGACATGAGACATGTCCAACGATGCAATCTGACCAAGTTTATAGTACGTTTAAACATTTTTATTACATATTTTAAAAGGTTTTCTTGCTCTGTTTTGCTTTGTATGTATGTTTAAAAGTGTTTGCTTGCTGTGAGGGTGTGTCCCTTTAAATGCTGTAAAACAGTTTGATGTCACTATACAATATGGTAAAATAATAAGTCACATTGCGGCTTGACATTGTATGTTGCAGGACAGCAGCAGTGACATGTATACACACCATTTTAAAGAATCAGCACAATTTCCTTACGTTGGTATACATTTCTGATTTTGGCACAGTTTTGATTGTTTAACATTTATTCAATAAAACTCCAAACTCTTAGCACGCTTTCAAACATTCTGTGCTATATGCAAATCTATACACCAACTCCTAACATTTTTAGCCATACCTTTGACTAAAAGAAGACTAATAGAAGTACCTTACCAAATATTATACCTGTATCGCCAAAACTACAATATTTCATTTTCACTATTACATCTATTACGATGTTACTATTACATCTATTACGATGTTTTGTTACTGGTACCAGTGTGTAGGCATCTGGATCTTTCATTAAGTCTTCAAGTAATATATCCACTCCACATTGTATCAGGGAGAACAGACAATGTTAATGCAACTTTTAGGATAAAGTAGCAAAAGTATAAAACAAATTCCAATTAAGGCACCTTTCAGCTTGGGTGCTTTGTCCTAAAATGTACATTTTCAGTTCTCTACAAGTCTTGGTTCATAAATGAAGCCCATAATTTTCATGGGCAAGAAGTTGACTTTTTGGATCAATGAAAAGTTACCTTTAAAAAAATGTTTATGTTTATCTAAACATCTCTAAAATGTATAAAAAACAAGCATACGCTAAATTTATTTTTCCGGAAGAAGTAATATACATTTCTTACAAGCAGTGATCTAGAGGAATAAAAGCAGTTGGACTCAATCAAACAACAGCACCAGGGGCTCATTATCTGTGGAAAAGAACATTAGTGCACAAAGGTTATAAATGTCACAGATAAAAGGCTAATTAAATCTGCAGAACTTTTCATACCCCATAATGAGAATACTCCCCTTGTATATTCAGTTGACATTGTTATCAACTTTGTATTAAATATTTTTTTTTTGCCATTATTTGTTTCCATTCTAAGTCAATTATTCACATGATAATTCTCATTTTTCTCGTGTTTTCTCCAATGATTTAGAGATCTAAAAAAAAAGAGTTTTACTATTTTTAATAAACCTATACATATATATATATAGGATACAAAATGATAAAATGAGTATTTCTATGGGAAAATGTGTATATATAATTTTTAAAGGAGAAATATGTCTTTGTTTTACACCCTATATGTAAATAATATTAAATAGTAGTAAAAAAATTAAAAAAGTGAAAGGAAATTAAAAAAACATTTTTCTCTTAATTTTACATTTAATGATTTGGACACACCAAGTGCAACAAAAAAAAAAAAAACTAACTCAAGATAGATTCACTAATTAGTCCTGATTGTTAAAATGCCCAATAGGTCTAGGATTTCAATTTATTTTTCAAAGTTAGAATATTACATTAGAATATTGCAAGGAATACATTAAGGTTTTAAAGCTAAAATTTTGCAACATTTGCCATACTGAGATTACAACTTTTATAGAAGTCATAGAATCGAAAACCACTACACCAAAGTATATATTTGTAGGAAATACAGCCCCGAGGCTGTGGAACTAAGAGCATTTTGACATTTTGCATTTATCCATTTTATCACAAACCCAGCTCAAAATATTTATTTTTGTTGTGTTTTTTTTTCACATTTTATTTTGTGGAAATTCACAGAACATGCTTGTCCCACTGCTGTAAACACCCATATTTGAGCTGAGCAGTGATGTTCATATCCTGCTGTCTCCAAGGCCTTAACCCTATTGTCCTGAGCTTTAATGAAGGAGGGGATGTCAGCTAGTTCTGTGCGGAAAGTTTGTTTCACCTCCTCTATCCAGGGCCAGACTGGCCCACCGGGATACTGGGAAATTTCCCGGTGGGCCGTTGGCACCTGGGGCCGGGCAGGCAGCTGGCCCACCTGGGGCTGCATGGGGGAGCTGGCTCTTCTGGCGGCCGCAGGGGGAGCTGGCTGTTCTGTCTCTGCTCCCCCTCCCCAGCGCACTGCTTAATGAGACCGGGGCCGGAATACATATACATATTCCGGCCCCGGTCTCATTAAGCAGTGCGTTGGGAAGGGGGAGCAGAGACAGAACAGACAGCACCCCCTGCGGCCGCCAGAAGAGCCAGCTCCCCCATGCGGCCGCCAGAAGAGCTCCCCATGCCAGCACACAGGTAGAATTTATGTGTGTGAGTGTATGTGTGTCTGTGTCATTTGTGTGTGTGTCTGTCATGGTGTGTGTGTCTGTGTCATTGTGTGTGTGTCTGTCTGTGTCATGGTGTGTGTGTGTCTCTGTCTGTGTCATGGTGTGTGTGTGTGTGTGTCTGTGTCATGCAATGTGTGTCTGTGTCATTGTGTGTCTGTGTGTGTCTGTGTCACGGTCTATCTCTGTCACGGTCTGTCTGTGTCATGGTGTGTGTGTTTGTCATGGTATGTGTGTTTGTCATGGTATGTGTGTGTCTGTCTGTATCATGTAATGTGTGACTGTGTGTCACAGTGTGTGTGGGTCTGTGTCACGGTCTCTCTGTGTTGTGGTGTGTGTGTGTCTGTGTGTCATGGTGTGTGTGTCTGTGTGTCATGGTGTGTGTGTCTGTCTGTGTCATGTAATGTTTGTCTGTGTCATGGTGTGTGTGTGGGTCTGTGTCACAGTCTGTCTGTGTTATGGTGTGTGTGTGTGTCAAGGTGTGTGTGTGTCTTTTTTAAGGTGTGTGTCTGTCATGGTATGTGTGTGTCTCTGTCATGGTGTGTGTGTCTGTCAGTCATGGTGTGTCTGTGTTTATGTCTGTCACGGTGTGTGTGTGTGTTTCTGTCTGTGTCACGGTGTGTGTGTGTCTGTGTCATGGTCTGTCTGTGTCATGGTGTGTGTCTGTCATGGTATGTGTGTTTTTACTCACCTTTTTTTTCCCCCCACGTCGTGCTGGTCTCCCCTTGACTGTCCCTGCCTCTGCGGCTGAGATCATCAAGCTCGATGATCTCAGCCAATCCGCACTGACACAGGAAGCACCTCTAGTGACCGTCTGAGTGTCTGTCACTAGGAAGCAATGTAAACACTGCCTTTTCTCTAAAAAGTCAGTGTTTACATTGAAAAGCCTGCAGGGACAGGCTAGAAACACCAGAGCCACTACATTAAGCTGTGTGTGTGCGCGCCTGCTAGTGAGTGGGCTTGCTTGTATGTGTGTGTGTGTGCCTGCTACTGAGTGAGCTTATGTTTTTATGTCAATGACCTTATGTATATCAGTGAGATTGTTTGTCTATGAGGCTGTGTATCAATCAGCTTGTGCCAGTGAGATTGTCTGTGTCTGCATGTGAGTATGCTTACTGTATAATTAAAAATGTTACTCTGAAAGGACCAATATTTTATATTGGGAAAAGCAATATATCTCAATCATCTAGGGTGGCAAGACATATTACATGCGACAATATATGGCGCAATGACTTATGGGGCTGGCATAGATTTTTTTTCCAGGGCTGCTTTGGAATCCCCAGTCCGGCCCTGCCTCTATCAGAGCATTAAAGTCTTCTTTTTTAGGTTGTGAAACAAATACAATGTACCAATCCTGGTCAGGTTCGTGTTGCGTGGGTTTGCCTCACTGTCATCTGAGAGCAATGAGCCCTGTGAGTCGGACGACATGTGCTGCAGTTCTTTTTGCGAGGCCAGAATTGCTGGCATGTGAAAATAGCTCCAGATCAAGGATGTTGGTAAGTCGCCTTGTGTCTTGTGTCATTGTTGAATGAGTCATTTGCGTTTTATTGGGTTCCAGGCTTTTCTGTAGCTTTTTTAGGTGGTGGCTCTTGGAGAGAATGGATTAGGCAGTGATTCCTTGCAAGTGCCAACCCTCTAGCCCTAACTATACCCGAAGCGCTGACCCTAATTTTAAGTTTATACAAAATTATGTAACAAAAATAAAAATATAAAGCAATAAAAAAAAACATAAATCCGATATCTAAATTATGTCTTTTGGTTTTTAATGATGGCTTCAGAACCCCTCAATAGTATCATATTCCCATAATATGTGGTTCGTTGTTGTGTATTCTGTATTTAACAAAATAAAACAGGATAGGAGGAGGGAAATAGTGCAAAAACGTGCAGGCGAGCCACTATATAGGGATCACTCCCCAAATCCCACAAAATACAAAAGTACAAAAGTACAATTACACAGAATATACAAAGATAGGGCACCACAATCACAATGGTGTGATAATATTTACCACTCGGATGATAAATCTATACATAAAAGGAAAAATAAAAAATATGTTCATAGTATAGTATTTATTAATAACAGAAAACCTTATAAATAATTAAAATCCCACTCACAAAGAACATGGCACAATTACAAATACTCTTAAATTGTGCAAAAGAGTTTTTTTAAACACCTAAAGGGCTATAGCCAATGGTACCTTTTGACATCAATAGTCTCACTTTCTTGAGTGTCCAATATATACTTGAAGGTCCAAAGATTGCCTTCAGTTGAGGTTAAGGCTGTGTAAATCCATCTGGGGAATAACTCTCACTATTGCCGCTCAACGCGTTTTGTCCTCATCGACTTTTTAAAAGCCTGGTGATCTCCTGTGTTTCTGCAGTTCATATTCGTAATTTTCACGTGTTTGTTCAGTGTATTTTTATTGCGTCTTAATTTCTTTATTTCTTTTACACAGCAATGTTTTAGCTGATCAAGCATCTGTTTCAAGCCCTTAGGCATTGGTGTTATAGTTTGGTAGAGATGGCTTCCCTAATATCAACACAAACACTGTTTACATAAATTGACAACAAAATCTATGTATAAAAGAAATCTTTTCGAGAATGTGATAACTTACATGATGTGACCTTCTAAAACAGTCTACTATTATAAGTGCACCTTTGCATGTTATTTTTCCTGAACTATGTAACTTGTAATGCTACTGATTGCTATCTCAATTTTTGCTTAAACTGGTTCTTGGGTTCCTATTATTGACACCTGCCATCTGAAATACCTGTATTCTCATTCTTTTGCTGCTGACGTCAGGTGTGCCTTCCTCTTGCCTTACTGACATTGTTCTACCTCCCTTCAGGAACTTTGTCCCTTATATTACTTAAAAATCCATAATATAATATGTCTTCTGCAGAAAATCCTATTCCTATACGAAGGGGATAACGGAGAAGTCCTCCAAAATGGATTCCACTGCATATTGAACAGAGTAATTCATAGGCTCTGTGAAATGTGAGTTCGCATTTTGAAAGCTTATCAAAGTATATTTGGAACTTACAAAGCACCTTTAAAAAAAAATAAACAAAAAAACTGTCTGCAAGCACCCGAGCTGAGCAGTCACATTCCGAGTGAGCTCCGTGATAATAGGGATATTTTTACCCTTTTTACGGCCCAAAGACCCAACTTACTGGTCCGGATGACCTCTCCTAACATCGGGGAATCGAAATGGGGTGCAAAAATAAAACACTGAAGCCTGGCAAGCCGAGACTGGGCCTGCACTTTGAGGATCTTCTCCCCCAAGCTAGCGGCGCGGTTGGGCCCAAGATGACCATCTACCCAGAGGCCTACTCTGAGTTCTCTGATGACTTCTCACTCAAGGAGGATATGGAGGAGCTTCCAGCACCGCGGCCTCAGTACCCAGCACCAGGGACACCCGACTCCACACCGGTGACCACAACGGTCCTAAAGACACTCCTGTTGGAACTCCAGGCCACTATACTGGCGGACACCTCCAAAATCTGCAAGGACATCAGGGGACTGTTGAGCAGACTGGGGACCCTGGAGAACAATGCTGGGGAGCAAGCCCAAAAAATCACCTCTCTGCAGCAAACAGTCAAAGACCTGCAGTGCCAAAACGAAAGGTATGACCGACATTTTGCAGAGATAGAAGACTTGCGGCGCAAGACAAATTTAAAGGCATCAGGGAAGATGTACCACCAGCAGAGCTGCCCCATCTCCTGAAACACCTGTTCGCTGCACTGTTGCCCCCAAGGCAGGGAAAAGCGGTGGAGCTGTAGGAAATATTTCAATCCAACAAGTTGCCCAAAGCCCCGGGTAAGACACCTAGAGAACTGGTAGTCCGCTTCCAACACCACAAGGACAAGGCCGCGGTGGTGGCAGCAGTGCGGGTTCGTACACCCTACACCTTCGAGAACATGTCTCTCACTTTCTTTGCGGACCTCTCAGGTGGACTATGGCGTGGAGGTGCACACTAGCTCCTGTCATGATTCTGCTAAGACACCATCAAATTTAATACAGATGGCGTTCCGCCCATACGCTCCTGGTCCTCAAAGATGAAGATAAACACATATTACATGATATAGCCAAAGTTAAAGCGCTGCTGACCTCCCTGAACATACCTCAGGACACTGTGTTACACATGGGGACCGTGCGGCAGAACAAACACCCCACAGGTGGAATCCGGCAGTGGTGACACCGTTCATTCCCACGAAGCCCAATAGGGACCCTCCTGCAGCGGACACTACCTGACTCACCCAATTAAGCACAACGTGCATGCAACATGTTTCTTTTACCGTTTAGTTTGTGATTTGTTCAGCTTTAGTTAAACATCTCAGCTAGTCTAGGGTACTTACGCCCTGTCCACCCTCAACTCGATAGGTTATCCAACCGACATAACATCCAATCCCTGCTCCCCCCCCCCGCCTTTACGCAACATTGTACATAGACTAATCCAATATGGCCTGGCTAAGGGGGTATAACTATGAACCACATCTGTCATCCAGCATTGCACCATTGCCGCTTCCACTATGGAAAGTGTACCCCAGGCACTGATAACCCACGGTGAAGCCTTGTTAAGCTTCCCAATGTAACAATAATGAAGGCTGAACACCAATAACTGCAGTGGCCAGTATCACAGATTCCTCTGTTGATGGAGCTTACTCTTCATGTTAACAGAAGAATGAAATCAATACACCACAATAGATGGCCTTCCTATGTATGGGTTATGGAAAATAGTGGAACATTCCTTGGATGTGTTATTCTCACTCCCTAGTTGTGAAGGACCTAGTGTGACCCTTCCAGTGACCTTGATTTAAAGAAATGCATCATTGCAGATCAAATCCCAACTGGATTGGGGTATTGAAGTAAGTTTTGTAAATTCCAGACTTGACCTAGCCCATGAAATCCCTGTGCATGCCGTGAAAGCTATTAACAACCAGCCTTTCAAACGTGTTTGTATCACAAGTGCCATCTAGAAAACCAGTATATGTTTCAACTCTGCTTCCTCGGTAATGAATAAGGGCCATTTTATCTGCAAATATACATGGGAACACTTTTGTTGGAGATTTGTAGTTGTTCTGTAATAAGGAGCACTAAACTCCTGCTAGCTGGTTGACCCAACCAGCTGTGCAAACAATTACACTAGGCAGGTAGTAATATGCAGTGATAATACATGGGGTTTGGAGGGGAGGTTATGTCTTCCATAAATCATGTTTGCATTTAAAATGCTGTAGCACACCAATTAAAGGTGAAAGGAATGCACTTTGCTCTTAACTCAAGAGCTTGCTAAGTGAAAACCAATAAAGAATTACTTAGCAAGGTCATGTGACATGGTACCTTTAAGACCAATTGAAAATGATCCTGAAATAAAACATTTTGCACATAATGCATTCAGGCCATAAATGTGTGCTGTTATTTGCAGTTCTTCAAATGACAACCTGAAACGAAACAGATCACCTTTAAGAGAATCTCAGAACATTAGTGTGCTGAATGTTACACATTTCCTATTTGTTTACACAATGTAAAAACTAATGTTAGAATTAAAAGAAAGTGCACTTCTGTTATTTATCCAACTCCAGTCTGCATAGCATTTGTCAAAGGTCATCGACCTACTCTGATCACTACTACGTGATTTGATTTTTAGCACAGTTAACAAGCCAGCTTTTGGGAATCATGAAAACTCAGGAGCTCATTGAACTATATGCGATCATGTAAATTTTAGTCTTAAAAGTGAGGGTTTTATTCACTAAACAGTGAATTGATTTAGCAAAAATGAGGTCAAAACAATTGAGTTGAGATCTTGGACTTGCATTTGAGATTTTTTTGAAATGTGGCTATTGTAGCCTTAATTTTTGCAAGTTGTTTCCTACAGTACCACAACTTTCTGTTTAGTATATAGATCCCAAAAGTCTTTCCGGTTTGTAAATACTAAACTGCTAAAGCAAAAATATAAATACTTATAACATTTCCAGCGTATAATTTCATATAACCTTTTATCCTGGGTGAGTTTGAAAGATGTATCAATTGTGGCACCAATCCTGATTAATTTAATTGTTATATCCCATTTATACTTTATCAAAAAAACAACGAGATATTCACCACTTGTAGAAATTTAATAATGCTTGGATTTTGCCAAAGGGAAATTAAAAAGTAATTTTTATTTTAAATTTCAGATCTCTTGCTAAAAGACCAGAATAGACTATATTTAAAGTCTCGAGAAAGAAGCGAACACATTCACACATATCCTTCCACAGAGCTTCCATTTTATTAGATTGCAGTTCTTCCTTGGAAGGTGTGAGATGAGAAATAGGGTTTTAATAATTCATCAACATTTCCCAGTACTTGAGTTGCATAAGTAATGTTAAGACTTTTCCCAAATGAATCAACAAATTTAAGACGTGTTCAATGGCACAGTCTTTTAACACAGACTCCTCTCCAGTGCTTGGCCACAATATTATTATGTCTGCTGCGGTCAAACTGAACTGGTATTAAAAGCAGACATTCTATTTCAGTATTTCATTTAACTACTAATAATTTTTTTAGAATGTCTATTTGTTGACAATGTGTATATCAGAATCAAAGTGGTTTTTTTTCACTTAAAGTCATACTATGTTATCTTGGTTTACAAAACAAAATAGATTTAATTTTCATATTTAGTATTTAATTACTTATTTAAGCAGTCCTGTTACCCCCTCCTCATTCTCCCAATTTATTTGAGCGTTTCATAAGGATAAAATCCTTGTGAAAATCTCATAAAGATGGTGTTGGAAATTCATTGATATCCCAACACAGTCGAAAGATATCATAAGACAAAGGTAGGACTAATTTGACAAAACAGTCAAATTACCATGGCTGTTGGGGGCAGTCATTTCCTGCATTCATGATGATGTTGTCTATGTGATGAAACAATTGCATCAGCATTAAGAATGGGTCTAGTCACTGTGCCGGATTGGATTACCACTTTGGTAACTTAGACACAACGCCTGTGTGAGCACCTATAGTGCTGGTTTTAACTTTCAGAATAGGAAGGTTGTGTGGGGGAGACCTCCCACTACACATTTAAACTCCTTCTCCCAACACACACAACACTCACTTACCATACAGATTCTTCTTCAGTCACCACTCACATACACAGCATAGGTCCCCACATACATACAATACTCAGCCACCAGACACAACTATACTCAACCTCCCCCAAAACATGCAACAGTCAGCCTTGTTCACATAAAATAGAGCAAAAAATGGGTCGCAAGAGTATTCTGAGAATGGACAGCAGCTAAAATAGCCTGCCCTTCGGTGGGTCCCCGCTCAGAACTCAAGCTGGTTTTAGCTCATCTTGTGTCATTACAGAGAGAACATATCTGAAGCATATCAGACTGGTCCCACCCATATCGGCAGTCCAGATCCAAAATGCCAGCAAGTTCTCTCTGCATGAGAGATACAGCAACCCCAGACAATCGTTTCAGCCTTGTTAGGCATCATCAGTGAGGCATAGCTGATATCTCTCTAGGCACCGTGAGCAAGGGGTCCACGTCTGGATTACCCTTTAAACTAATGGAGAGCAAAAAATGGGTCGCAAGAGTATTCTGAGAACGGACAGCAGCTAAAATAGCCTGCCCTTTCGTGGGTCCTCGCTCAGAACTGCTGGTTTTAGCTCATCTTGTGCCATTACAGAGAGAACATATCAGTTCTGGACTGCCTTTATGAGTGGGATCAGTCTGATATGCTTCGGAATATCTTCTCTCTGTGATGGCACATGCGAGCACCTGAGTGGGGATTTACCGAAGGGCAAGCTACTGAGCTTCCCTAAGCTTTTGTTTTCACATTCTTTTTTTTTTTATTATTATGGATACATTCCTCTCTTGTTACAGAATACAGTAAAACACATGAAAATAACAGAGATAGCAGTGATTGTGGATATTATAATATAGTCTTTTTGGGTTATATCCAGTGGCGTACATACCAAGGTCGCAGGGGTCGCGGCTGCGACCGGGCCCGGCCCACCAGGGGGCCCAGCCACCCCTGCGACCCGGTATGTACCCACAGGGCCAGCCTCTTCTCCAAGGGGGCCCTGCTGACACCCGGCAGGCAGGCGGGAGAGTGCGGGAGGGAGCACTCTGCTCTGAGCGCTTCCTCTTCAGCTCCCTCGCGCACCGAATGGATACCGGAGCCGGAAGATGACGTCATCTTCGGGCTCCGGTATCCCTACGCGGCGCGCGAGGGAGCTGAAGAGGAAGCACGCAGAGCAGAGTGCTCCCTCGCGCGCCGGCCACCCAGACAGCCAGCCAGCCCAGTAGCCCAGCAGCACCACTGGACCCCAGGGAATCCCCCCAGCACTCCAAAAGGTAAGGAGGCTGAGGGGATTAAATTTACAAAAAAATGTGTTAGTGTTAGTGTGTGTGTGTTAGTGTGTGTGTGTGTGTGTTAGTGTGTGTGTTAGTGTGTCTGTTATTGGGTGTGTGTCTGCTAGTGAGTGTCAGTGAGTGTGTTACTGAGTGTGTTTGATGTCTGTTATTGAGTGTGTGTTTGTCAGTGAAAGTGTATGTTTTGTAAGTGACGTCGCTAGGAAGAAGGAGAGGAGGAGGAAAGCTCTCCGCCCGCGCTGAAGAAAGGTAAGATTTTAACCCCTTCCTCTCCCCAGAGCCCGGCGGGAGGGGATCCCTGAGGGTGGGGGCACCCTCAGGGCACTATAGTGCCCTGACCCGTGCCAGGAAAACGCGCCGAGTAAGCACGCGGGGGGGGGGCCCACGGATCAATTTTCATGTGTACTCCACTGGTTATATCAGTTATTAACCTATGTTAATGACTTCTAAGATCCCCGGTGTATATAGTAAATTCATCTGACAATTCACTATATAGACAATCTCAATATTGCCGGAAAATATCATTTAAATGTCATATAGACACTGGAACCAGCCCAGGAAGAAACTATGACTTCTATAACCATTTCTTACCCCATCCATTATTAAGCTCTGGTACAATTTGAGCTTCATAAAGTTTTACAGTTGTTCTATGGTCCCCATGCCTCCAACTGGATAAATTGCATGGAAACACTGAGTTTAATATCAAGAAACTTTCAAGTAGACCTTCTCAGGCTTGAAAAGGTCATTCAGATTTTCAAACTTTTGGACGATGATATAAATCCAGAAAATACAGATGTATTTTTGTATTTTTGCCACCGTAGATGAATAAAACCACTACTGTCCTTCCGAAGTCTTGTTGAATTCTGGCCAATAACATGAGTTATGGCACAGTCTCTTTACAGTTTGTAATTAAGCACATTCATTTATTTTCTTCTCACAGTTCATTAAAACTTGCTGGTATCTTGTTCACCAAGGTCTGCAAGTCTCCCAAGTAATTAAAATGCTTTTTTATTTCTGCTAAGGATATTTGCAGGTGCAAGGCAAAAGATATAAACCAGACTAAATTAGCTCATTTCTTAAACATACACTTTTAGGTAAAATTGTTTCATTATTTCCATGGTTTGTTGATTTTATCTGTGAATGTAATCATACTAAAAACCAGTAACTGAAAATTCTAAATTATTTTAATTATCTACTTTAATTCTTGATTCACTATGGGTTTTCACTTGTCTTTACTTAACAGATATTTCTTTTTAAAATTAAATGTAACATGCAACATTTTAATTCAGTTGGCCAAGCTGGAAAAAAGTGATAATTCCCTGGAAGTGTTGTGAATGATATTTTTCTAGAGGGGCACATATTTCCTTTTTAATTTTAACTTACAAAATGATTTATATATATGTATTTTAGTTGTGGTTGGATAGCCTTGCACACATTCACATACAAAAATCACAAAAACATTAACCTGTATTTACTAAAGTTAAAAAAGTAACATTTATCTGAAACTTATGAGTCTTAAATATTAGCAGCAATAGAAGAAATATCTAGAGCTGCAGAATGGGCAAAACCCAGGTTTGAATCCTCATCAGACCACGTCACCAGTAAGCATCCTTGGGCAAGACACCTAACAATATATATCCGCCTACTTCAAGTCCTCATAGATTGTAAGTTTATTTCAGCAGGACCTTCTTTACCTCTAAATATCCCTTTCTATAATTGTAAAGTGCTGTATAATCACTATATAAATGCTAATAATAATACAAATGTTCAATGTTGGGAATGCAACTTCCCAGAAATTCCATCAAAGTTTAAAAATAATGTTTGGGCTAGTGGCCAACCGCCGAGCAAAAATGGCCGCACAGAACCTTGCTCCAGTTTATTAGCTCCAGCAATAACTTCATTACCAGCAGTGGCGTACATAGCAGGGTCGCAGCGGTCGCGGCTGTGACCGGGCCCGGCCCACCAGGGGGCCCGGCTGCCCCTGCGACACGGTATGTACCCACAGGGCCAGCCTCTTCTCCTGGGGGGCCCAGGAGCCAGCCACCTCAGGGCCTCCCCGAGGCTGGCCCTGCTGACCCCGGCGGGCGCGCAGGCTGGCTGGGTGGCCGGCGTGCGAGGGAGCACTCTCCCCTGAGTGCTTCCTCTTCAGCTCCCTCGCGTACCGCACTGATACCGGAGCCGGAAGATGACGTCATCTTCCGGCGCCGGCATCCCTATGCGGCACGCGAGGGAGCTGAAGAGGAAGCACTCAGGGGAGAGTGCTCCCTCGCGCGTCAGCCACCCAGCCAGCCAGCCAGCCCAGCAGCACCACTGGACCCCAGGGAATCCCCTCAGCTCTCCAAAAGGTAAGGAGGCTGGGGGGATTAAATTTAAAAAATAAATGTGTGTGTTAGTGTGTGTGTGTTAGTGTGTGTGTGTGTTAGTGTGTGTTTGTGTGTGTGTGTGTTTGTGTGTTAGTGTGTGTGTTAGTGTGTTTGTGTTAGTGTGTTTTAGTGTGTTTGTGTTAGTGTTTGTGTGTGTGTCAGTGAGTGCCTGTTATTGGGTGTGTGTCTACTAGTGAGTGTGTTACTGTGTGTGTCTGTTACTGAGTGTGTTTGATGTCTGTTAGTGAGTGTGTGTTTGTCAGTGAAAGTGTATGTTTTGTAAGTGAGTGTGTGTGTATGTTTTGTAAGTGAGTGTGTATGTATGTCTGTCGCTGAGTGTGTCTCTGTCAGTAAATGTGTGTCTCTGTCAGTAAATGTGTGTGTCTGTTAGCTAGTGTGTATGCGTCTGTTCATGAGAGTGTGTGTGTGTCTTCAGCATTTACCTTTCTCCAGCGTCGGACTCCCTTGGCGCTGGGGATCCCTCCGCCTCTCAGCTCCGAATGCACATGCACGGCAAGAGGCGCGCGCGCATTTAAACCGCCCATAGGAAAGCATTACTCAATGATTTCCTATGGACGTTCATTGTCTTCTCACAGTGAGAATTGCGGAAGCTCCTCTAGTGGCTGTCAATGAGACAGCCACTAGAGGCTGGATTAACCCTCAGTGAAACAAAGCCGTTTCTCTGAAACGGCTATGTTTTCAGCTGCAGGGTTAAAACTAGCGGGACCTGGCACCCAGACCACTTCATTGAGCTGATGTGATCTGGGTGTCTGTAGTGGTCCTTTAAGTGTGTGTGCATACGGCGGTCGCGGGGTCGCAGCCCTGCAGCCCCTGCGACCAGGTGCCCGCCGCCATGTGTTGCGGCCCCGACCCGCGCCGAGTAAGCGCGCGGGGGAGGGGCTCAGATCAATTTTCGCACCGGGGCCCCATGGGTCATGTGTACGCCACTGATTACCAGTACGACCACTGATATTATAAGATGTCACAATACAAAACGAAAGAGAACTCTGCAACAGCAAAAAAAAAAAAAATTCAACCAAAATCGCTTTCAGCACTTGTGGCCACGCTGATTGATTTGGACACCAGCAATCCAGCACCACACAGGGGAAGCATGAACTCTACAGAGCAATTTTCCAAGGGCTACCTTGTCCAATGCCTCAAAGCACTATCAGACAAACTTATCACCACTAGGCAGCACACTGTGGATGCTTACGTAAAGATGTTCAAGAACTTTGCACACGGACATCCCACATAGATCAGAAATTGAGTGAGTTTGCTAGCGCTCATAACCATATGACAGACCACGTTCAAACATAGGAGCACAAGCTGGAAATCAGAATCGCAGATACAAAGGACTTGCACGCAGAAACAATTTACGCTTGAGAAGTGTCCCTGAAACTGTGCTACCCGCTGAACTCCCTCTCTTTATTCGTGGTCTACTTCACGCATTTGTCCTGGAGGTGCCCGGGGATATGTTGTTAGTGGATGGAGTCCATTGGGTCCCTAAATCGAGACATCTATTAGATTCGGTGCCATGGGATGTCCTCCTTAGGGCACACTATTTTCACATCAAAGAGCTAATTTTACTTCCAAGCCAGAATAAATCACAACCGCCCAAAGATTATGCCACTCTAAAGATCTTTGCAGACTTGTTGGCAGCTACCCTCAGATGTCGGAAGACCTTTCAGCAAGTCATAGAAGACTTAAAAATTACAACATGAGATACCGGCGGGGATAACCCACTAAACTGTTATTCCCATGAAATGGGGTAATCAAGATCATCCAATCCACAGACAAAGAACTAAAACTGCTGCGAGACTGGGGCATCCCCATACTACCAACCTGTGAAGTCTCGACACCCAAAGGCAGGCTGTCACCTGATTGGCACAAAGTGAAAAAGTGAACTCTCTCAGCACACTTTTAATGAAAATACCTTGCACCAAAAACGAAACCAACTATATTTACTTTGCTGTTCATTTTCTCATTTATTGCCTGTTCAGTAGTCTTTTCCTTTTACATTTTATGTTTTAACACTAGTATGTTGTTTGGGGTTACCCTGCTTAATGCAAAATGTCCCTACAGTTTTCCTATCGGTGGTCGCGGCTCCACTATCGCATGACATATAGCTAAAATGGTGCAACTCGAATGAGTCTAAATGCCATCTCCATTATTTTAAATGCTACAGCACCACTATGTGACTTGGAATTGAGCCGTTGTGTCAGAGTGGGAACCGCACGAATATCACTGACCCTGCCTATACTGTACTGTACTCTTACATATAGACAACAACAATAGTAGGTGGGGAGACAGCCCCCCAACACACTTATGGCCCTTTCTAAGATGAATACGGAAGCCTGTTCGCTAACCTGTTTGTTGTGCTAATATTCTTTCTCCCTTTTGTGCAACCCTAACAAACATACTCACCAAAACAAGAAAAACAAACAATAAATTGTATTACCTATATCTACCTCTTGTATTCTTGTGTATTAAGCATTTCTGTTAGGTTCAATTCCTCTCTCATGAAGCCATGGGTATATATCTGATGGACAGATCAACAGCTGTTTAGTATAACCAATTTGTCTAGTTGATTGATCAAGCTCACAAATTAGCACCTCTCATGATACTGCACATGTGATAACACGATCTGCATTCGGTTAATGCAAGGCTGGTCTTCCAATTATAGAATATCTCAAATACGCTGATCAGTTCTCTAGGACAGCATCAATACAACTCTTTAATACAACTGGTTGTTCCCAATGCACCAGGGGAATATGACCTCTTGCCCCAAACTAACCTACACTATAAGACTCTCACAACTACCCCATCTGTAGAGCTCTGAGCCACACAACTGGAAATTATGCTATCTCCCACGACGTGTCCCCTCCACACCAAAGCCTCCTTAGAGAGTGTTTTGTACATACCTTGTTTTATTACTACCTTGTTATATTGTTTATTACATTTTATGTCTCTAGTCCTCCACTTACTCTGATGAACAAAATAAAACAACTCCCTTTACGAGAGGAAGCAGGTAGAGAACCTTAGACCTTAGTACACAGAACCAACCACACAGAACCCTCTGCCTCCATGCTGGCCTCTCATGGTCTACAGGTTACAGCAATAAGTTGGGTAGCATGTTTTTGGCTTTATTTTCTACAAAAATGTAATTTAGTTCCTAGACTTCACACTAGCTGTTGAATATTGTGTCCACAATTTTGAGTTTGCACTGTATGCATTTGAAGATTACCTGTGTGTTACCAAACACAGTGTTTACAATAATTTTGGTATTATCCAACAAGAAGATGATGACAGTTTTTTTTTAAATAGAC